ATTATCATAAGATTGCATAGAGCTTTTTGTGGGCACATTGTAGTTAAGAAAGCTCTTGTAGACTAACCAAAGTTGCACAACTATTTGGATCTGAACTGAACCCTATGTCACTGGCAATCTCCTAACTGATATATTATCAACAAGATTAGGGCTTCTCATAAGACCTAGATGGTGGGATCCAGTTTATAAATAATACTTGAACATTTGATATTAATTCATGAATACAAGTAAATTTTATCTGTGTTACTTAATTGGCTGTTGCAAGATGCCGTAGATGTTTTCAAATGGATAAGAAAGTGCATCATTCTTGTTTGGTATTTCAGGTTTTTTTAATAAGATGTTAGTGAATGCTTTGTGTATTTCGTTTGAATTTGTATCTTTGTTTAGTTAATTTCTATTTGTTTGCTTTCATTAAGGCGACAAAAAACAATTCTTCTTTGTTTCTTTGTTTTGTCAGGTAAAAAGGACAAATCGAAGAGAACTAAATCCATATCTTAAAGACAATGGGAGTGGTTACCCTGATGATGCCTCACCCTTAGAGGTTGGCACTAGTCAGCTTCTTTCTTCTTCTGTAGTGGGTGATGGTGGTGCAAGCTGGCGGTTGAAAGCCTTGAAACGTGCAAGAGAGCAAGCAGCTCGTGAAGGACGGAAGCTTGATGAGGTTTATATTGGATTATTTCAAGGGTTAATTGCGAATAGACCCCCTGTACTGTTTGCCCAAGTGCAGATAGACCCTTCAGTGAACTTTTTCGACCCTTTTACGAGACCCTTTTAAGGGGGGGGGGGACAATTGGCGATCTATCCTCTCCAGTAGAATAAAAGGGGGTCTTATCCGCCTGCTCAAAACTTTTCTGACTCTTTTAATAGTTTTCAGGGGGATAAATCCACTCAAGGGTTGCCTCTGCACAAATAGAACTATAGGGGGTCTATCCGCATTTGGGTGATGGTACGGGGGATCCATCCGCAATTAACCCTTACTTCACGTACACCTCACAGAAATCATTGGGACTTGATGGGTTGTTCATTCTACAGGTAGTTGAAGAACGATGGGGCTCTTTGGGTCACTTGGCTACTTCTGTTGCAGCTCATAGAGCTGCCCCTTCTCATGCTCATTTGCATGCCATAAAAGGAAGGAAGAGGGGGCAAGTAGAAAGTTCTGAATCTGGTACAGGTTTTGAAATGAAGGAAGGTACCAAAGAAGCACAACATGCTTCCCGTGATTATTTACGAGATGGATCTTCTCGGCCTGAAATGAGGAAGCCTAAACAAGATTCTTTACATTGGAAAAAGAACAAAATACAAAATATTCGTTCAGAGGATAGGTCTCTCATATCTGCTGCAATTTCAGGCATAAATAAGTTTGCTGATGATGGAAGCTTTATGCAGAGCATATCCAGTCAGCGGAGTAAGGATGTTGATGTTTGTATTAGTCCTCAATCAAGTAAAGAAGCTGACATTCTTAGGGAAAATGATGTGGGCTCTTCTCTGGTTAGAAACTCAAATATGGTCCCTTCACTTAATACACAACGGTTAAGCGCAAATCAGCTGGCAGCTAAAGTGATGCAGCTGAGAATGAAAGGAATGCATGAAGAAGCTGAGCAACTTTCGGTGAGACTTTAATTTTCCCTGGGTGCTTAAATACATCTTCTTGTCTTTTTTATTTTTAGTAATTTGTTTGGAGGTTAAAACTTATTTGCTAATGCCTACTAGTTGTGACTTTTAGTTCATTTGAGAGGTAGTACAATATGTAGAGGATTACTTTTGGAGGTAAAGAGTGACTGCTTTTTCAAAACTAAATCATGTCAGAACTTGATTCTGTGTTTGAGTTCGTTTGAAATCAAACCAAAAAAACAAGGATTCATTTTATAAATCCTGTCAGGATTTGAGTTCCTTCGAATTCAAATTTTTATGAATGTGTTGTATGAATCCTATTAAGAGTTGATTTCATGTGAATTTATAGATTTCCTATTAGGACTTGGATTCTTATATGGATTCATGATCCTATTAGGAAACTCTTTTCCCTATTCTGTTAGGACTTGAACTCTTTTATGAGTCTCTGAATTCGAAATTATATGAACACATTTTACCAATCCTACTAGGACTTGAATTCATAATCCTATTAGAGACGCATTTCACAATCCTCCAGGACTGAATCACATGTTAGAGAAGAGTGCCCAAAGCCTCTGATCAATTATATTCATCTCTCCTTTGTTTGCTTTTCTGAGTTCGAAAATTCAAGTAAGTTTGCTAATATTCTCTTTAAAGCTAACCCATATGAAAGTGATAATTTCTTTTTGCGACGAATGCATGTTGCAAATCCACAGTTTCCCCCCTCCTTTTTTTGCTTAAGCTTTATTTAACTGACTTGTACCTACGCAAAGAAAGACTTCACCTCGGCAAATTTATTGCAAGTGGAGGATAGGGAGGGAGGACAACAGTTTAAAAACTGAAAGCAAAATTAAGAGGGAAATACAAAAATTATCTTTGTTTTTAAGTTGGTGGTGTCGGAGGAAGCCAAGAAGATGATGGCATGGGACAATAGTCAGCATGATGCAAGGACACTAAGAGAGGCATGAAAGGAGATTTAGAGTGATCGAATAATCCAAATCCTAGTCCATATCAGAGTTCTTTTGTTTGTTTGTTTTTTTTAACCCAATAATATGCTTAAGCAGACTGCCTTAGCAGCTTAAGCGGACACCCAGACTGCTTTTTAAAGCAGACTCCCCACTTTTTATACACCTTTTTCCATTATAACTTAGTTATACATGAATTTAGTCATTATTTACAGAAGTTTGTCTGATTTTGCAGAAAGAGATGAAGACTGTGATTGGTAAGCCCGCTACAGACAGTGAAGCAGCTAGACAAGGAACTGAGACCAATACAAGCAGGTAATCTACTCAGCACTTCAGATTACTACATACTTTTATAACATGCTGTTTTTCAATGGTTGACTAGTATATCTCTTGCTATTCCCGAGTTATGCTTTAATTTTAAGCACTTATCTGGCACCAATTGCCAACATAGGCTATGATGAGATGACCCTCCTATTTAGCCACTCTTCAGACTCAAGTTCCGTCTAGCTTGACTTCTTTGATATAGCTTCATACTGACACTTTGTTTGGTTGGTGACATTCCCTTTTGATGTTTGAACTTCAAGGATTCATCTCCTCTATGCCCTCCCCTTGATAGACCCTGTTAATTTTCTAAATGTTATGCATCAACGGCTCCACACTTGCCAAATAGTCCACGCGAAAAGGATACCTGTGCCAAATACATTATTTTACTGCATCATGGAAGAATTTTTCGATTAAAAAATTTCAACATTTAATGCTTTGTTTCATCGTTGTTTCTTCTATTATAACTTAGTATCTGTACTGAAATGTTGGTATGCGTTTTTCCCTTGTTTGACTTGTAGGTATTTTGAGAAGCAGATTTCTTCTCAGCGGAAGAAAAAGGAAGAAGATGCTGATTTGCATCTGGCCCAGACAATAATGCGTAACAAAAAGTATAGCTTGTCTGGTAGGGCAGATGATGAATATGATTATGATGGTGATGCTCCCAGCAGAAAACAAAACCGTAAAAAAGAGGGAAAGCATGAGGAGAAAAAAACTTTCTCAAAGCACTTCCAAACTCAGCAAGAACGCTGTCAATTTTGTTTCGAAAATCCATTAAGACCAAAACATCTTGTTGTTTCCATTGGAAATTTTACATACATGATGCTCCCTCAATGGCAGCCTCTTGTTCAAGGACACTGTTGCATTTTGCCGATGCAGGTAAACTTTTTTGTGTTTCATTATTATTGTTTAATAAACAAATTGACATTGGGTCATAGTTATTTGCATTCTGGAAACTTGCCTTCATCTCAGGCTGCATTCCCGATTTTGACTCGTGTTAGTCTTTCTTTCTGGAAATTATCTCCTTGTTTTTGTTTTGTAGATTGTGCCGACTTTTATACTACTGTTCCGCTTTGATTTTTTTTCATATTGCCATAGCTTTCCATAAGTCCTTTATACATAAGCATTTTTGGAATTCCTATTATGAAGTTCATAGGCTTGTTCATTGGGACTTAAATTGCCGGTTTCTTTTTGGGACTCATCAAATATACATTAGATCCCGTCCTATAAAAGGTTGTTTGGAAAATAAATCAAGAACTTTCTTGGGGTGGAGTGGGTTGACAGGAAAAAGTTTGTTTACACTCAAGTTCTTTGTTCAACCTTTGATTTCTTGCTGATATAAAATTAAAGTCAGGCTATATTACTGGATAGATTCTTTAGGGTTTCAAGCACCCTCTGGATACAGTGTCTAATATCATCTCACATCTTTTATAGCATGAGTCTTCTATGAGAACTGTTGACAAGAACGTGTGGGAGGAAGTACGCAACTTCAAAAAGTGCCTCTTAAGGATGTTTTCAGCGCAAGATAAAGATGTTTTGTTCATTGAAACCGTTATAGATTTAGCAAGGCAACGCAGACATTGCTTAATCGACTGCATTCCTATACCATATGCTGCTTCTGCAAAGGCGCCTATGTATTTCAAAAAGGTCAGTTACCAGGAAAACACTTTTTTTTTTCTTTCAAAATGCATGTTGGGTATCCTTAATGAGAAGACACAAGGTCAAAATGCGGTGCACTTACTCTACAAGTTCTCTGTAGATGTAAACTGCTAAGTTGTAAGATGCCATTGTTTCAGAAGATTCTGTCGCCAACAAAATCATTGACACGATTAAACGTCGTGACACCGTGAATCTTGATATTTGCATTTGAAAACACCTAAATATTGAAACTTGAGTGATTTGAAAACTTTGAGGTATGCTCATTTGTATTTTGGTTTTATTATGAAAGTCACTATAGAAGATCTAGCTAAGAAATCTCTAGTCAGGTTGCAATGCAAGCATGTTATATAACTATTTTTTTAATTAACGGTGCCTAAGCCATAAGAAAACATGCCCACAATAACATTTCATATAGCATTTTTGTAATGGCTCAAATGTGAAAGAATCTTCTCAAAGTTCTTTGGATAAATAATTTTGTGCCTCACAATCAAGTTCAAGATGCAAAAGTAATAATACTAATGTAAATGATGGTAACCGTAATGATAATAACTAATATAATTGATGCCGCTTTGCTGACTGAGATTGAGTAGTGATGTCTTTTTCCTGTAATGAATTATCAGATAGTACTTAATGTAGGCAAAGCCATTTGCATTTTTATAAACTGTTGACAAGGAATCTAACAAGAGAATGTGTACCTTAGGCAATTGATGAGGCCGAGGATGAGTGGGGCCAGCATGAGATGAAGAAGGTAATCCCAACCAGTGGGAACCTAAGAAACGTAATTCCTGAAAACTTTTCCTACTTCCATGTAGAGTTTGGCCTTGATAAAGGATTCGTCCATGTTATTGATGATGATGCCAACTTCTCGAGTAGCTTTGGCTTGAATATTGTCAGAGGTATGCTTCGTCTTCCGGAAGAGGACATGCACAGGAGACGGAGGGTGGAGCCTGTGGATAAACAAAAGCAGGCTGTCGCCGATTTTGCCAGAGAGTGGGCACCTTTTGATTGGACGAAAGATCTTGATTAAGAAAGGAAGAACTGAAATTGTAAATAGAGGAGAAAAATTGCGACATACTCTTGGTGCACGCATAAAATGCGATTGAGAGGTTTGGTTTTCCTACGTATATGATGATATTTGTTGCTAAGTAAATTCTCGATTAGTAGGCAGATATCCCACTTACTACGTGAGAGGGATTGTTGGTGAAGCAAGGTTTTGTTCCTAATTATTTTTTACAGTTGGTTTTGTTTTGGACCATCATCTCCCCAGGACCAAATAAAACTGATTTAGTTTAAGATAGGGCCAACATTAGTCGTGGCCTAACTTTCGAGTGGTTGTTGGAACAAACTCCCAGCAAGTTTGTTGCATGCACAATTGTTTTCAAGCAATAATGTGGCGACAAATGATGGTGCTGATATAATAGGACAAAACTCAACTTGTCCCTTAAAAGTGCCTATTTGCATGTTTTCCCTCCTAAATTATGTACATCTATCCAATGTGATTATTTTGTGAGCCCATAGTCAAATATTCAACAAATTAATCACGTAATGTTGTTCTTTTGCATTTTCTTCATGGTTTTTCATCAATCCCCTTAAAGTGCCTATTTGCATTTTCTTCATGGTTTTTCAAAAAATATGATGTTACATCATTAATTTGTTAAACATTTGGCTATGTGATAAGAAAATGTTCATGTTAAGCACGTATACGTAGTTTAAGAAAGGAAAAGAAGCAAAGTGATACTATATATATTAGGGAAGTTTACAGTTCACCGACACTTGAGCATTCGGTCAATTTTTCCTATCCTTCAAATTGCACAGTTGGATCATTTTAGTTGTACTCATTTAACTGTACCGATCTAAGATCGATAGGAATCTCATCCCTCCCACGTGATTTTTATGGAGATCCTTCTCCAGCATCTTTACGACCCCCTGCCGCGCTTGACACGTTCGTTCGGCAGCTAATCCTCACCATCACTCCGGAGTCGACAGCAAAATTCACGAATCCGCACCCCCACCGTTTACGACGACTTTCGCCTCCATCCGCGCTCGCTTGCCGCCCGCTATAACTGTCGTTTAACATTCGACCCTCTCTTATAAAAGCCGCAACCCCGCTACGGGCCCGTACCACCGCAACTGCATGCGGCTGCGCTAAGCGCCGGTCGCGATGCCCAGCGCGGCAGCCACGCGCTGCTGTGGCGGACGTTGTACTCCTGCCCGGTCTCTGGATGGAGCATCGACGGGTCTGGTTGCCAATGCGGCGTGTGGAGCGAGGTTCAGCCTCGACTTCTAGATTTTGGAGAAAAGGAAGATCAATAATTTCTCTCCTTTCTTTTTTTTTGCCCCCTCCTTTTCTTTTCCCCACCTTTACGGCGGAATCTCTTCGCTTGGTTGGTGTTTGAATGGGGTTCCTGTTTATTGAATTGTACGGTAATTGCAATTTGCTAACCCATATAAGCAGAAAGAGAGGCACTAGAGGCACACTCTTCACCGCACCTCCAACCACACCTCCCCTCCTGCTACAGTGCACCGGGGCCCACTTAAGATTTAAATTTTAAATCTCAAGTGGACCCCGGTGCACTGTAGCAGGAGGGGAGGTGTGGTGGAGAGTGTGCCTCTAGTATTTCTCAGCAGAAAATAATGAGCATGCTGTCAATTCAAAGAGTCAGACTGAGGGTGATACCAGTAGCCCTGTCCAAAAAGCCCGAGGCCCGGACCGAAACCCGGGGCCCAGGCCCGGGTTCCCATGCTGACGTCCGGCTCGGACCCGCCCGCTGGAACAGTCCGACCGACAACGAAACCGGGCGGGGCGGCTCGGGTCCGAAGCCCGCCCCCCGGCAACGTACTTGTGACCAGTTTGCAGCAAAAAACTGGGCCGGGCAGTGTTGGTGACCGTTTTCGCCAAACGGTCACATTTGTGACCGTTTTGGCCTGCCCGGCCCGGCCTGGCCAAAATGGCTATTTTGGCGTTTTGACCGTCTTGCACCTTACAACGGTCAAAAAACGGTTATTTGGTAAGGGTTTTTTTGGTAATTTTGCCTAGGAGGCTCTCTCTATAAATAGAGGGGGGTTTTCACTTCTTCTCCTCATACCAAAACTCATCTACTTCTCTCTAATACATTCTTATACAATTTTATACTCTCTTATAACCCTTTCATCAAATGGCTTCTGGATCTGATTATGAAGAGCAAAATTTATCTCCTACCGATATTGAAATGAGTCCTCCTACAACAACAGCTATTCCTCCTACCGATCCTACCAGTGGTAATCCTGAATCCGGTGGTGACGAATCTGCACCAAGAGCTCCTTAAAGGCTGAGATCCGATGTGTGGATTTTTTTTGAGAAGATAGACATCACCAAGGATGAACACGGTAGGATCCTCACCTAGAAGGCTAGATGTGCGTTGTGCGGCCGGATTTTCCAAGCTCATCATAAGAGCGGCACCAACCACCTCAAACGCCATATAGAAAAACACAACAAATGCCAGACTCCTCAAGGTGATATCCGACAATCTATGATTTCTCAATCCTCCTCTTCTGGTAGTCTCGGTACTTGGAATTATGACGCTGCCCGAGCTAGGAAATGCGTCATCAGATTTATCATTCTTAAAAATATTCCTTTTAAATTAGTAGAAGATGATGAATTTGAAGATTTGTTTAGAGATGGTTTTTATCCCGATTTTAAAAAAATTTCTCGTCAAACCTGCCAACTTGATATTTTAAAACATTATCAAACGGAACAAGGAAAAATAATTTCTTATTTTAAAAATTTAAAGTGTAAATTTTCTTTAACTTCTGATATTTGGACATCTAGAGCACAAGCAGGTTATTTATGTATCACAGCACACTGGATTGATGAAAATTGTCAAATGTTTAAAAAAGTTATTTATTTTATTACAATTGAAGAGTCACATACTGATATTAATGTAGCCAATTTAATAGTTGAAGAACTTACGAAACTAGAAATTGATCAAATAATATTTTCTTTCACTAGATAATGCAAGTAATAACAATGTAGCTGTAGATTTTCTCAAAATAACTCTGTCATGGTGAACTTTTTCATATTAGATGTATATGCCATATTTTAAATTTAATTGTTCAAAATACATTTACTGAAATTAAACCCATGATAGAAAATGTTAGAACAGTTGCTTATATGCATACTGCTTCTGAACAAAGATTTAAAAGATGGAAACAAACGTGTAAAAGAAAAAATATTAAGGCTAGACTAATTCCAAAAGATGTTGACCATAGGTGGAATTCTACCTATGCAATGTTAAGTGTGGCAATAGAATATAAAGAAATTATAAATGATTTTATAAATTATTATGCTTCTAATTTTATAAATTATTATGCTTCTAGTTCTAGCTCTGGTAGCACTTATGGAATAACTGAAGATGAATGGATAATTATATGTAATTTAAATGAGATGTTACAAGTTTTTTTATAATGCTACTATGTTATTATCTGGTTATTATTATCCAACTATTACTTTAGCTGCTCTACAAATTTTAAATATTCAAAAAAATTTGCCAAATATCGTATGGATGATACTTTTGGAGCTATAATTTTTCAAATGGAGAGCAAATTTAATAAGTATTTTAGGTCTATTCCTCATATTTTTGGTTTGGGGGTTCTTATTGATCTATGTTTGAAGGATATTAGCCTTCGAAGTTTGTTACAATCATTGTATGATGGACAGATTATAGACTTAGATGATGGATCCACCTTTACTGCTACTTCTCATCATTTAGCTATTAGAAATTATTTTCAAACATTATATGATGAGTATGCAGCTAGACATGGTGTAGCTGCACAACAGTCTGTAGCTTCGGCGCCTTCAAGCTCAAGCCGAGGTAAAAGTGTAAGTTTTGATAGGCATGCAATGATAGCTGAGCTAACTAGTGGGTCTGGACTTGGATCGTCATTGGAGGTTTCTGAAATAGATGAATATTTATCAGCTTCTTTAGTTAAATGTCAAGGAAATGCTTTAGATATTTTGTAATGGTGGAGAATATGTGGATCAGTTTCATATCCTATACTTTCCACCATGGTTCGTGACTTACTAACAGTGCAGGGAATCCACCTTCAGTACAACAGAACGTTTAATAGACGACCACAGAACATGCTTAGATCCGTATATTGTACAAGCGGTAATGTGCTTACAAGATTGGTGAAGGTACGAGAAGTGAACACAAGGCATCGATCGGATGACTGGAATTGAAGATAAATTTGAAGAGTTGGGACTAGTAGATAGATATAAAGATTAAACAATATTCATCAAATTGTAATTTTTATTTCTTAGCTTTAAATGTGTAATGAATTATTTTGGAAATAGTTACAAATGATAGTGATATAGGTGAGTAGGTGCCAACCTAGTTGGGATGTACTCATCTATTATGATGTGACGAATTCCGAAATAAATTTATACTTATAAAAGATTTACTGATTATTAATAAAAAAGTTATTTTTATCATCTTTTATTTTTTATAATTTTTTGTATTTGTAATTTATGTCATTTCAATTTATTAATAATAAGATTGTTTTTATTTTTATTTTCTGTAAATTTTTTTAATTATATATATTTTTTTAAATTTTAAAGAGATTTTTAAAAAATTAAAAAAAACAAACAAAACCCGGCCGGGCCCGGGTCTGGGCTCTGGTTTTGCCGGCACGGGCCCTGTTTTCCGGGCCGGGCCGAGCCGGATGGACAGACCTAAATACCAGCGTAAAGTGCTTCACAACTAGTGAGACTATGACCTTTGGCTACATCGAAAGAGGAGACCTTACACAAATTTCTAGTTTGCTCTCTCCTCCTTGTAATTGTAAATATTAATTTTCTTTGTTATCAATACAATTCGGACACAAGCCTTTTCTCAAAAGGAAAAAAAGAGATTTGTTCTTTATTCTGGTGAAAGATAATGCCATGATAAATAAAAGTCTTTTCTTTTTCCCTTTTTTTTCTTTTTTTTTCTTTTTTTTGCCAAGAGGAAAAACTTGGTTAGAGAACTTCTATGCTCGACGGAGAGCCCAAATTATAATTAGGGCCCATTATCATATCCATTTCAATTCTAAGAAAGCCATTAAGGATATTCAACCCACCCAGCTATCTTGGCGGATCTCGATCTTTGTTTTCAAAGTGGACTGGGGAATAAAACTTTCATGAGAATTCCTTTTTTTTTATCTCTAAAATCTCTCTAAAAAATCATCAGGTGGCGGCAGATTCAAATCGAACGTTAGTTTGCTGGGAGCCGTTTGTTCAGATGATGGACCTGATACAGAAGTTGATGCTCCATCCC